TACCTTTATATTCAATATATTTCTTGAAAGCGCCTAGTCTATTGGAAATATGGTAATTTTATCAAATAATTTTTTGCCTGTAAAAACACCCTATATCGTATAGTTCTAAAGTGTACTGCATGTCATATATATTATTTATTTCGCTATATAACAGTCAAACCTTAATATATATATATATATATATATATATGTTTGTAATAAAATTTTAAAATATATAACTTTTTTTAAAAAAAAAACATTCAATATAAAGAAAAAATAAATATGAATATAGAACCTCAAATAAAAGCAACAGATATGGAAGAAGATATGGTTAAACGAGTAAAAGAAATATCATTATCAGCAATAAAAGACTTTAAATAAGAGAGATAAATAGCAAATTATATTAAATAAGTTTTTGATAAATAAGATGGATACGGTTGGAATTGCATTGTCGGAAGAAATTTCGGTTCACATATTGTTCATTAAACCAAAAAATATTGCTTTTTTTAAATAAATGAATTGCAATTACTTTTATGGAAAGCTTGAAAAAATAAAATAAATATATTTAATAATTTTATATTAATAGATATAATAAATTTTTTATAAAAAATATATTTTCATTTTGTTTTCTTAAATTTTAATAAATTTGTATAAATCAAAATAAACTATAAAAATTACAATACAAATGTTTTAAAGTAATTCTAATTTAGCTTATGCTGGATATATTTTAAGTAAAACAGTGCAAAGAAATTCATTAAGAAAAAATAATGCTAATTATAACGAATTTAAAGAAAAGAATATGACAATGTACATAAATAAGAAAGTAAGTAATACACGTTAAAAAGAAGGTAAAAAGCTAACCGCATAATAATTAAGAAATGGTATAGACTTATAGATAAAAGATAATTAAAATTATAATTTTAATCTAATAGCTAATTAATTAGAATAAAAGAAGAAATAAATATCAATGAAAGAGCTTTATAAAGAACATTAAAGCTAATAGAATGATCCTATATATAAACAAATGGAAGAAAAACTATTCTTAAGTAATTATAATGAAGATTTTATAATATTTTCTACATAAAATGAAGATCAGCATAAATAAAAGAATAAAAAAGAAAGAAGTGACTAATAAAAAAATTTAAGTTTTATTCTATCATAAAACATACTACCTTAAAAAATCGAAGAACTATATAAGGATTTCAAAAAAGTGCAATTAAAGAATAAATTAAATGAATTAAAAAGACAAAATGAAGATATGGAAATAATTTAAAGAAATATAAAAAATTAAAATAAATTACAAGAATATAATAAAGAATAATAAAAAAATAAAAGGATTCTTTCAAGAATATGCAAAAAAAGTTAATTTAATATATCTACTATTTTAAATATAGATAATAGTAATTATTTTATATTTATTTTTTTGTTTGAATTTATTTATTTATTATTAAGATGATATTTAATATAAAAAAATGGGGATAAAACTATAATTAATTAAAAATTTAAAGCTTTGGAATTATTTAATGAGTTTATTTAAGTAGAAGACAAAAAACAAAAGAAAAATATAATAAAAATTTATAAATAGACTAAAATTGATAATATTGGATAAGAGTTTTCAAAAGGTAAGCTCAAAATGCATGATATAAAACAAAAAACGAATTAACTTAATAAATAGAAACACAAATTTAAGAAAATGATAAGAAAAAAATGTTAAATTAAAAGTAAAAAAAAAAAAAAATAATATAATAAAAAAAATAATAAAGGTAATTTAAATAGCTTAAAATTTTAAAGAAATAAAGATAACCTATACAAACAAATTCTTTAATCTCCTACTTTTATCAAAAAAAGAAAGAAATATTCAAAAATCTACAAGAACGATTTGAAAAAAGTATAATTACAAACATTAGAAAGTAAATAAAGTTGGATAATGCAAATCATAAATTTTAAGATTATTCAATAATATGTTTAATTCGCCAAATGTATCTAATAAAATAAATAATTCACATGAAAATATTTATAATTCAACAAAATAAAATTCTAATGATAATACAAAATTAAATCTAAATCAAAAATCTATAATGATAAAATCTTAATATACTTAAAATAATTTTTTAAATAAATAATAAAAACATAAATTATATAAAAACTTAAGTAGCTTTGTTTAGAAATGTGATTATATTAAAAAAGAAGAATAGTAAGATAATCTTTTAATTAAAAAGTCTATTACATAATTAGAGAATAAATTCGATAAAGATTTAAAAAGAACATTAAATAATAAAGACATTGATTAAAATTCTAACTAAAATAAATTTCAGAACATAAGCTTTTAAGAGTTAAAAAAAAAAGCAGATTTTAAAAGAAATCTTATTTCTTTTGTTTTAGAGAAGGTAGAAAATTAAAGTAATATTTTAAGCAAATATAAATTGAAAAAAAAATCTCTTTTATTTTTTCAACAAATGTGTGATAAAAATGAATGATAATTTTATATATAAGATATATTATTTTAATATATTAATTATTTTTTATATTAATTAATTTTTGTTGTTCATATTTTTAATTTAATATATATTTAGCCTTTTATAATTAATATTAATTATTTTATATTAAATATATATTAGATTATTATTAATTAATTAATTTAAAATACTTTTATGTTTATATTTTTTTTTTAATTTATATTTATAATAATTTTAAAAATTTTATACACTATATTTATTAAAATTAACTTTATTAATTTTATTAAATTGTATATTTTATTAAAAAATTCAATATTTTTTTCTTTTATTAATATAATTATAATAAAAATTTATAATTTAATATTAATTATTATATATATTAATATTTATTATTATTTTAAAATATTTTCAAAAAATATAATACAAAGATTATATAAATAAATTAATATATATAAAATTTTAAATTTACATATAAATAATCATATTTTGTATTAATGTTGTAATTACCTATTTTTTATTTTATTATATTAGTTTTCTTTAGTTAAAATATTTTAATTATTTTATTTTAAAATAGAAACTTCATCTTCTTAATCATTTTTAATTTCTTATTAACTATCAGAATTTTTTTTATACATAAATTTTTCAAATTAGTTTTCATCATCCTATTCAGTTTTTGAAAAAAAATCTTCATTATTGAATTATTTATTTTTAGAATTTTACCCTGTAAAAAAAATAGATCTATTGAGAGGGACATGTTTGAAAGCTTATTTTTATTCATATAAAAAGTTTTGTTTTTATTATTAATTTTTTTTTATATTTTAGTTTGAATTTTAATTATTATCCTAAAATTAATTTTTATTATTATTATCTAAAATAAACGAATGCATTTAATAATCTTATGATTTTGTTTTACTTTTATGAAGTCTTTTTCGTTCGTTTATGTTTTAATTAATACTGTTTGTTAATTCTTCTTTTTTTTGATATTACTAAGTAAATAAGCATTCAGCAGTTTATTTTTTTTAATTTTCTTGTTTATTTATAAAGTCATCTATACTTTTATTGTTTAAACCACATAACCAATCTAATATATCACTATCATTATTATCATTTTGTTATTTGAACTTATTACTACTGTTATATTCCTTTTTTATACTTTAGTTTTGTTATGAAGATAAAGATTATTATTCGTTTTTAAATTATTAATTATTTTCTTAATCATTTTTATTGCTTATATTAATTATATTTTAGCTTGTATTTAGGAATAGTTTCTTCATTTATATATCTATTTACTTATATATATATCTTAATTAAAAAAATTTATTTATATTAAGAAAAAATAGCTTTTAAAATAATTTAAAATAAAAAAGCAAATGCTAAAAAATAGTATAGAAAAGAAAAATACAAAAAATATAAATATTTTATTTAATTTTGATTAATTTTATTTTAAATTAATATATATATATAAATAAAGAAAATTTGAAATTAATAAAAAAAAAAAAAACATATTTATTATTTTATATCTAAAATACAATTTTTTTATAAAAATTGAAAAAAATAATATATCCATATGTAGTATAAAATGTTTAATTAAAAAAATTTGATTCTTTTAATTATCATATAATTAAAAAAATTAGTTAAATTTGATAAATTTATTTATCTTTCTAATAAAAAATATAAATTAATTTACTATTCTAAAATATATTTAAAATAATTATTATAATATATAAAAAATAGTCATATTCTTATAACTCTTTTAGTAAGATTATATTCATCAACATTAAAACAAATTAAAGTAGAACATTCATCATCAAATCCTGCTCCTCCAAAAACACAAATATTTTTAGTAACAGGATCATATGACATACTTGATGCCATTCTTGGTTTAATAATTTTTTTTTTTTTTTCACTATCACTAATATCGAATTCATAAAATTTATAATTAGAAAGTGAAAATATTAAAAATTTGTCGAAAAATTCTAAACCATTAGTACCTCCGAAAATATAAATTAAATCATTAACTATTACTGACGTATGAGCACATAGTCCAAAAGGCATTTCTTTAAATTTTTTTATATGAAAGCTTTATAAATTAAGTGCATAAATTTCATTCTTAATTTTCTCATGTTCTCTTCCTCCAATAATAATTAGATATTTTTATTAATTTTCATTTTTTTGTTCTTCTATTTTTTATTCTTCTTCTTCTTATTCTTATACTTTTATTTTATATTATATAAAATTTATATATAACGTTTTTTTTACATTATTATGTTTCATTATTTTCTTCTTATTTATTATCAGATTCAATTTAATTTTCAAAAACTGCATTTTTATCATCAAACTCAATATTTACTTTAGTAATTTTCATTAAATTTTCATGTGGAATAGGTTATCCTTGAGAATTAGTTTCTTTAGTAAAATCACCAATATCTAATCCAACAATATTATTGTTTTTTTTTTTCTTTTTCTTTTTAGCTTTCAAATCACCGTTAGTTGTATAGAAATGGATACTATGCATTTCTAAACCTTTAAAATGATCATTAATATTTGAAATTTGAGCTTTTTTCCATTATTAAAGCCCTTAAAATATTATTATAAATAATTATTATATAAATAAAATAAAAAACCTAAATCATAAATAAATAAATCATTTAAAGGTTCTTAAGAGTCAGCGCCACCAAACAAAATTATTTAATTATCAATGTAATTATAACACATTGCACTCGAATTTCTTTCTGTAGGTTAATTTATATTTAATGTTTTTTATTATTTATTTATTTTTCGAATATTTGAATTTTCCTTTTCTTTTTTTTAAATTAAAAAATTATTTTATAGAAAAATAAAATAAAAACCTAAATCAAAATGTAAAAAATCATCATAATGTTTATTCTATTAAAAGTTCTATCCTCCAAATATATATATGTTATTATTATCTACTTTTGTTGAACAATGTCCTGTTCTTGGAGTAAATGGATTTAATGGCATTTCGATTTTTCGCCATTCACATTAATTATTTTCAACTAATTTTAGCTCCCATATATCACCAAATTCTTCTGATCTATTGCTACCTCCTTTTAATATAAAATAAACTTTTAATAAATCTAATTTAAATACCTATCAATATGAATTTATTTTCGCCTATATTATGTAGTGAAGAACCTGCCCTTTTTGATGGAAATCTGCAACTTTTTTTAAATTCAATAAAATTCATTAATTTTTATTATAAATATTTTTTTTATATATAAATATAAAAAATAATCTTAAATATTTTTTAAAAATTATTAAATTTTATAGATTTTAAAATATTAATATTTTCTTTTTATATAATTTATTATAAAATATATTTTTAAATCAAAAAAAAAAAAAATACAAAATATTAAAATATATATTTTAATAAAAATACATTATAATATAATATAATATAATATTTATAAAATATAATATTTTTGTGTCGTTTTTTTTTATTAAAAAAGAAGAAGAATAAAAAAAAAAACAAAAAAATCAATTATTTTGTTTAAATATTCCTTATTATTGAAAAAGAAGCTACTGATTAATAATTGGTGAATTCTAGTAGTTATTTTTGAGTTATTCAATATTATTACTAAGAGTTTGTTTTTAAAAAATATATCTTAACATAACACATGCATCTTAATTTTTTACGAAAAGTAAATTAGGTTAGTATTCTTAATTTTTTATCAGTTCATTAAAAGTGTAAATTATTCCCCAGGGATAAGGTTTTTCTATATACAACCTTTCAATAAGTAATCTTTTTATTTTTTTATTTAATTAAAATAATATTTTTTTTTTTATACTTTTATAATTATTCTTAAATATCACTAATATTACTTTCTAAAGATAATTATAATATAAAGTTAATATAGAAATGTGTAATATAATTAGGGAATCTTAATTGATCTAAAATAATGTTTAAAATAGCCTCATTCATATCTAATTAATGATTTTTTAATAAGTACAAGATAAGACTATATAAAGAATTATTCATATCCAGAAGACTTATTTAATCTTATTATTAATAACTATGTAAAGCTATTGTCAAAATAAAAATTTTTATTTCTTAAACATTTATTTTATCAAACAAAGCGACTAAATATAATTATTAAAAAATAAATATTATTATTTTTAATTTACTTTAATCTTTTTTCTTGAATTTGTTCCAAATATTAACAGGTATTTTCTCATTTTTAGTAATTGAATAATTCTTTATATCTTCTTTCATTTCTCTAATTGAGTTTTCATTTAATCTTTTCGAATAAACATTAATATTAGTTAATTTTAAATCTTCAATTTAATCCAACTTATTTTATTTAATAAAAAACAAAATAAATAAAAATAAACAAAAATTACAGGTTCAATAACATAAAAAGGATCAGGAGGTCTCATTGATTTTGGAAAAGCAGACAAAATAATATTCTTTATTTAAATGTACTTATTAGGGACAGATTCAATAAAATCATTAGAATATAAAGAAAGAAAATCAGGCCAATCATGAAGAATAACTAATAAGATTCTTACAATGCCTTTATAAAAGGTTTTTGCCAATTCTATATTTTGAGTAATATTTTCCATAACTTAGTTAAAGAAATCTAACATATCTAGTATTACTTAATAATATAATTCCCATTATTTATCCTATTTTATTTTAAAAAATAAAGAAAAGAAAATATATATTTACATTGTTAAGCATAATAGACATAAAATATCTATTGGAAACTAATTAAAGCCAAGAAAAGGCAAAACCTGGATAATAAAGTGGCTGAATTTAATGTAAAAGTTAATTAATGATAGAATAAATAGAAAAAATATCAGATTATTCAAAGTTGTATTCTTTTCTTTAGAAATCATATATTATATTAGTTAAAATTTTGAAAAAAGGTCTTTAGTTGAAAAGATAAATATTACTTTCATGATATTTTCGGAAAACAATTTCTATACTTTAGCTAATTAATTAGAAAATACGAGTTTTTTAAGTACTCTCTTAACTTATTTTTATTAAAACAGTTATTAATTTACAAAACTAATCGATATAACATGAATCTAGATAATCGATTTAATTTAATGAAGCATTATTTTTTTAACTATTTTACATTATATAAATTATTATTAAATATATATAAATAAATATTTACATTTATTTTAATGTATAATCTACACAAATATCAATTAAATAAACAAAAAAATTCTATAAATTTAAATTTTCCTCATCAAAGTCCTTAAATTAATTCAAAAATTAAGTTACTTAATCTTCTCCCGTAATATTAAGCCATTATATCATTTTTTTGAATACATTTACAAAAAATTCATTTTGTCCTTTATCTAAATCCTAATAATATTAAGTATATTCATTTAAGAACTTTGTAACAATTTCATTTTAAACAACATTTAAATTCAAAAAAGTTTAAAAATTAGAAAAGCCTTATAAATTAAAGTAAAAATATTTTAATTAACTAAAACGTTCCTTTACATTCACATTAACATCAGGTTTTTATGAAATTACGTTTTATAAAAATTAAATTAATTAATTAAACAATTAAATATTCCAATTTTATTATAAAATTTCTATTAAGCCATTTATTATACATATTAATACTTCATTTTTTTAATTTCTTTATATTAATTAAATTGAAATCTATTTTTTTTAATTTATTATAAAAATAAAAAACTAAATTAATATTTTGTACATCTTAATAATCTTAAATTGTTAAGCATTATTTTGTTAATAAAACATTTAAAATATAATATAATGTTGTATTGATTAATAATTCTAAAGGCGCTTTGTTAAAAATAATTTCTTTTATTTCTTAACCTAAGCTTATATTCTTTTTCTATGAAATCGTATTCAATATTTCAAATACTTCCCCAAAAAATTCTATTTTTTCTACGTTATCACATAAAAACATATTTATATATATTTATTCAGCTAATTAATAATATAAATCGTATTAAGGCAAGTATTTAAGCAAAAATTATTGGATATTAATAAGTTAATTTTTAAAGCTAAGATTCTATTCATTTTTAAGGACTTTATATATATTAAATATATTTATAATATTTTATAAAAAGTTACATTTTTTAAATGTTTCAATAATAACTTAAAGAAATTCTTAATTTTTATTATCAGAATTTAAATTAAAATTAAAGTTTTAACCTTTTTTTTTTAATTAAAAAGTCTAAAATAAAAAAAAAAATTAAATATATTTACTTGTTTAAGGCCATAATTTTTTAGGAATATTTTTAATAAATTTATAATAAGTTTCATCTACAAAATTTTCACCTTTAATTTTTGCAAGTTTTCTTTTTTCAAGTGCGGCTTGAATTTAAGAATCTTACTCAACATCTTCAAGTGCTTTTTTAAGTACAGCATTTTTAATTTAATTTTATCCATTATCGATATTATCAAGAACGGCTTAATTAATTATCTTTTCTTTTTCATCATCATTCATAGAGTTTCCAAATTATTAATCAAGAAATCCTTTAAGTACATTTTAAAAAAGCTATTTAAGTGGTTCTCTACAGGTAACTAAAGCCAATTAACTTGCAAGTTTTTAGACCATTGTACATATTCCTTTAATGAACACGTTTTCGTCACTTTCAATACAAAAATCTTTTAGTTTAATTTCTTTTGTAGCAATAAGGGCTATCACAACACTTCTTTAAATAACAGGATTTAATATTTCTTATATAGATTTTTCTAAAGAAGCTTAAATTAATTATTTAATATCTATTGAAAAATTTTATTATTATTAATAAATATTAGTATTATTATTGATTTATAAAGAAATATCATCATTATTATTTTGCAATATTTATCTATTATTATTACTTTCTAAATTATATAGCATAAATGTACAAGGTTCTAAATGTTATTATGATTCAATTTGAAGGTCTTTGAAAAATGTTTAAAGTTCTATTTTACACTACAATTTTATTTTTTTCAAGTTCTTTATTTCTTCCAATAAACTGAAAATTCTTCTTATCCAAACGTTATTTTAATATTAGAATATTTTTGACTCTTTACTATAAATTAATAACTTCCTTATTAATATAAGCACAATTTCTATTTTATCAGGATAGCTTTAGCTCAAAATAGCTTTCAAGTTCAAATATTTGGCAAAAATAGGTTTATTTCTTTTTATTGTGAGTTACCCAATCCAAGATCCTAAATTTTTTATGATATTTCGTTCATTTTAATTAGCCTAGACATTTGTATTTAACATCTTTTAGAGCAAGATTAAAGAATCCTTAATAATGAGTTTCATTAATGTCCTTTTACTAATCTTTTCAATAAGGTTAATATAATTACTTTAGTTTTCAGCTTCAATAGGTGCTCTTCTTAAAACTAAATGATTTGCAAACCATTTCATGTTGTTTTCATTTTCTAAATATTATTTTATTTCTTAAAGATATTTTTCAATAGTCTATTCAGTCATTGAATTCATGATAAAAGTAAGTTTCATTTTCGCTTATTCTTCAGCAGGAATCTATTGTAATTTATCTTCTTTTATTAATATTTCTTGTATTGACATTTATGAATAATCAATTTAATAATCAAATTTCCTTAAATTATAAAAGCCTACACCTCCTGAATATAACTTTGTAGCTGAAAGTGGATTAGAATCTTATTATTTTATTTATAATTAGGAAATATCTCCAAATTAAAGATTTAAATTTTGAGAATTTTACTGAATCATTTGATTTTAATAGAATTATTACTACTAAAGTAATAATTATTATTGTTATTGTTAATGTGATTGCTATTGTTGTTGTTATTATTATTGTGTTTATGATTGTTGTTATTATTATTATAGCTATTGTTATTATTATTATTGTAATTGTTATTATTATTATAGTTATTGCTATTATTATTGTTAACTTTATTGCTATTGTTATTATAATTGTATTTGTTATTATTATTGTGATTGTTATTATTATTACTATTGTTATTGTTAATGTTATTATTATTATTTTTATTATTATTATTATTATTATTATTATTACTATTATTATTATTATATTTATTAATTAACTGTTGTTGTAATGGTTTTAGATTATTATGATTAATATTATATGTTTATTTATTATTATTTTTTTTCGTTTTATATTATTTTTTACATTTGTTAGTTATTTTAGTTAATTTATTATTGTTATTATAAAGACTATTCTTCTTATTAAGCCTGTTCTAGTTTTTTTATTTAATTTTGTTAATTTATCTTTGTTTATTCTTGTTGATTTTTTTATGTCATTATTTAGGCTGGATCAAATTATTTGCTTGATTTTAATTGCAATTTTTTCTTGTTTTGGCTTTTTATTTGAGTAATTACGTCTTATCCTTCTTGATTTCTGTTTTGCTTTCCTTCTTATACTTACTTTTATTAATCATTTTTTATCTAATCACATTTCGTATATATTTCGTCTATATATTTTTAATCAACATTAAGCTTTACATTTCTTAATTTGCATTACTTTTTTTTTTTTTTTTTTTTTTTTTTTTTTAATTTACTTCTATTATTTTCATTAATAAATCCGGATTTTTTTAAACTAATAATGAATCAAATAACTAAACAATAAATTTAGGGTAATCAAAGAGCTTATCTTTCATTCCTTCAACAGCTTTAACACTAAATTCATTTTTTTTATTATTTTTCTTGCAATACTCTACAATTATATCCAATACAATACTTAAAGGTTTATTATTTATTAAACTTTTAGTAAAAAATATAAATAAATAATATTATAATAAACAAAAATACTCTGCATTAATAATAGCTCCAAATAACTAGCCTGTAAAAAGGAGTTCATTAAAAGGGTATTAGTCATGAAATTTGCATTCTTCGAGAAGCCCTGTGATCATACAAGCAAATACTTCATTATCTTCTTTAGATGGGGATGAATTTAAAATTTTAAGATTTTCGATAAACTCATCAATTGTTATTTCTTTAGAGTAAAGTTTTTGGAAATAAAAATTAGCTTTTTTTTCTATTTATTATACTTGAGGATCACTTCTTCCATTTAGTTAAGGGAAGCATTCAATAATAAACTAATATTATTCTTGCAATTTCATGCAGTTTTTTTCTGATAATTTATCAGGAGATTCTGTAAGTAAACTTTCGAAAATAATAGTAAGAATTTCTGGAGTAATTTAAGCTTTTTCAAGTGCATTTTCATAAAGCTCATAATTTACATTTCCGAACTAATATTTAGCATTAATTTCTTTTATTTAATTAATAAGATTATCCTCAATATAAGTCAATATTGCTTCAATAAAAGGATCTCCAACAGTTTTAATTCGTTCATTAATCCACTAGTCGAAATGAAGGAATTCTCTTTTTCCAGCAAGGATGCCTAAAGAAACAGCGAAGAAATAATCTTTACAATTTGTAAGTGAAATAAGCGAATCCTTTATGTATTAAGAAATATCCAAAATACGGGATATATTTAAACAAGTATTTTCTTTTTTATTATCATTTTTATAAAGTTCACACATGGCATTTATAAGTAACTCCTCATTATTTTTCCATATGGTTTCTAATATTTACACTGAGCTAGAATGATTTGAAAGATAATTTTAGAATAATTAACTTAGTAATTCGTTAAAGAATACATTTTCCTTTTTTACTCCTCTTATTAAAGATAAGCCTATTGTTAATATATCTATGGCTTTCTTTAATGGCAATTCAAATATTTATTTTACTTCTTCATAATAATCTTCACTCAAAATTAACAATTATTAAAGAATTTCTACACAAGCCCATAATTAAAGTATTGGAGGATTTAAAGTATTATACTTGTAATTTGGATTAAAATCCAAATTTATTTATTATTTTTGAATTTCATCCCAACGAAATAATTAAGGAGAAGGAAACTAAAGCAAATTATTAAAAAAAACAAGCTGGCTTTTTGAATTTTCCCATTTTTAAGTAAATATTTACGATGGCATTTCAAAATTTTTCATCTTGTTTATTATTTATAGGATAATAAAAAATTATTATAAACTTCCAATTGTTTCTAATAAAAAGTATTTTCTGTCCATTTATAAAACTACTTGTGTCCACTAAATATTTTAATTATTTATTTTTAAAAAAGATATTTTACATTTATGTTTGGATTTTTTTAGAATAAGAAATTTAAAAATATTTGAATATTCCAAACCCCTTTTTATTTGTTTTCTTCTTCTTTTATTACAGAATCTATACTAATATATTCCAAGCATTAATATGTTTCCTCGTTTGTAAAAAAAGTATAATCATTAAAAATTTAATTTAAAGCTTCTATATTTTAAGTTATTTATGGCCCGTTTTCTCTTAGAATTTCTAGAGGAAGATTCCCCAATTTATTTTCTTCTTCACTAGTTAATTCTTCTTATTGTTCTTTTTATTTTTATTGTTAAGAATTAGATTATTTTAAATATTATATTTGTTCTTGCATTTGCTTTTTTTAATATTTTTTTTTATTATATTAATATTATTTTTATAATATAATATAATATTTAGATATTTAATTTTTAATAATAAAGTATTATATAATATTCACTTTTAATTCAGGATTTGATCTTACTACTAATAATAAATCTTGTAGTGAATTTTCAGGCATAATCTAAGGCTTTTTAGTTATATAATATTCATTTAATTTATCTTTAAGTAAAGAAATTCCTAAAAAGTTAAAAATAAAATTTTATTTAAAAAAATAAAAAACAAAATATTTATACATATAAATAATTTTAAAAAAAAATACACATATATTTTTAAATTTTTTAATTATAAAATATTATTAATATATAATTATAAAAATAAAAAAAGAAAATATAATATAATACCTTCTTTAGCAATGAATTCATTAATAGAAATAGCTAAAGATAATGAAATAAAAATTTAAATTGCCAAACTAAGTTTCAAATATTCATATAAATTCTACACATAATTTATTAATATATTATGGCTAATCTCTTCTTATCCTTTTTCTTAATCTTCAAATAAAATTTTTATTAGTAAATCTGGAAGGTAATCTAAATAATCTTTTGATGAATTAAAAATAATTTCATGTAGTAATTAATTTAATAATTGCCCTTTTAAATCTGTTTTTTTTTTAAAGTCTATGCTTTTTAAAAGACTTAATAATAAATATTATTCTGCCTCAATTCCATTTTATTTAATTATCTTTTTATTGTTTAAGTTTTTATTTTTTTTAAAATAAATTAAAAAAAGAATATTATTTTTTTAACTTACCCCTAATATCTAATTCTTGGTTTAACTAAATGCTTTTTTAGAAGTTAATTAAGAAATTAAACCCTAAATTTAGTCTTAATAAGGTGTTTGCTTATAAAGTTGTTATTAAGATTTCTATAAATCAGGTTCTTTTTTTGGATTCATTTTTTTTCTTTTTCTATTTTTTTTTTTTAAGAAATGTGCTATTAACTAAAATATATTTAGTTAATTTTCTTTCGTTTCTAATTTTTTTTTTTTTTAATTTATTATATATTATTTATTTAATTTTTTTATTTAATTAACATTCTGTTTTTATTTTTCCTTAATTTTAAATTTTCTATTTATATATTTTTAATATTATATTATATATTTAATTTTCAAAAAATATATTTAACATTAATTTAAAATATAATTTATATCAAATTTTATATAATATTTTTTTATTCTATTAATTATTTTAAATTAATTATTCAGTGTTTTTTTATTTTTTTGTTAGTAACTAAATTATATAAAATATTTTCTTTAAATCTATAGTTATTTTTTTAAATAATTTTTAATATTAAATTTTGTTTTGTTTTTAATTTTCTAACTCCTATTTAAATTATAATTCTTTTTCAAATTAATTTAAATGTTTTAGCATATTCAATAACTTTTAATTTGATATTTCTTATAGTATATTCTTAATTAAAAATAAATATTTATATATAAATATATATATATATATATATATATATAAATTATAAACAATTTTTTATTTTTAAAAAAGATACTTTATTTATAAAGAAAATAAATTTCGATTATTTTTAGAATTCATAAAATTTCTCAAATCATTAACAGTATTTTCTAATTCAAAAATATATTTAAGATAATTTATTTAATATTATAAAAATTATTTATTAATTTTATTTACATTAAATAAAATATTTTTTTTATAAATCAAGATCATTTTTTATTTTTAAAATTTTCTTTTAAATTTCATAATATTTTATTATTATAATTAACTGCAGTTAATAAATTGAATCAAATATTTTCTTTATTTAGGATATCTTTTTATAACTTATAAAAAATCTATTTATTCATTAAAATAGTCTTATTTTATTTTAATTTAATGACATTTATTTAAAAAAAATATATAAAATCTTATACATGTAATTATAAAGAAAATATATGTAATGAAAAGTATTAAAATTTTCTAATATCTGCTTAAATAAATAATATACTTTTCTAAAATTCTAATTTTTCAGTAAAACCTAATCTAAATCTTAAGATATACAATAAAATATCTAGTTCTTAAACTTCACTATTTGATTTAAGGTATTTTTTAAGTTATTCTATTAATAATTAATTTCATTTTTATTATAAAAAATTTTAATCAGAATTTAATTACTTATTTTAATTTGCATAAATAAGTTCTAATTTCTATTATTTAAGTTTGCTATATTAAGATATTATGAATCTAGTCTGTTCTAATTCTTATGTTAAATTTGAAACCTTTATTTAAAAAATAAAAAAGCAATTCAAAGCAATTATTTAAAAATAACTTTGCTTTCTAATAATTTAACATATTTTTTTTCATCCATTTCTTTCACTTTCAATATTTTTCATAAATTTATTTTTTTATTAAAAATATATTTTTATCATTTATTCATTTATTCATTTATTTTTTAGTTTAATTATAATTTAAATTATAAGTTTAAATATTATTAAATCTGTTTTCTTAGGTTTGATCTTGTTAATTTTATTTTATATATTTTTATATTTAAAACCATAAGATAAAAATTACTATTTTTATTTAATTATTTTTAACGAAAAATATATTAATTTCTTATCTCTTTAAGTATTTCAGACTTATTATATTAGTCATTTTAAGAAATACTTAAATAAAAAACTTAATAATAAAAAAATTAATTGATAATAACAATATTTGAACAATTAAAACTAGTTCTTCCTTTCTTATTTATTGCATTATTAAATTAAGGAGCCTATTTTTTTATCTTAGTACTTTTCTGATTATATTTTATATTTAAATCTATATATATTCTCAAACTTTTTATATTGTAAAAATTAGCTTATTATAATAAATAAAAATAACTATTATATATAAATAATAAAAGTACTATTTCTTTTTATATATATACTTAATTAGTTTATGTATATGATACCTTAAAATTAATTATTTAATCCAAGAAAATTAATTGTTATATTGTTACTAAATCAGTTTTTATATATTTTTTTATGATTTTTATCTAAGTTTATTAATTAGTTCAATAAATTTTATAATATATCGTTTTTAAAATTTTAATTTTAAATTAAATTATTATTTTTACTGTTATATTTATAAAGTACCTAATTAACTAAACCATATTAATTTTTAAATTCTCTTAAATTAAAAATGTGTGTTTTATAAATATATATATTTTTTTTAATTTTTATATGCATATTAACAAATCCATTATTTCATTTTTGCTTTATCATTTATAATAATATGGTTTTTTTTATATATAACTATAGTTTATAGAAAGAAATTATTCTATTGTTAATAAAATCTTATTTTAACAGTATTTTTTTTATAAAATATTAAATAAATAAAAATTTATATTTTTTATAAAATATTTGAAATATTATTAGATTATCATCTATTATATTTATAATAGATTTATTCTTTAAAAAATACAAAATATGAAACTAACAAAGCCTATTGATATTTTTTTATAAACATATACCCATATGAAAATACACCTTTATTCAAGAAATGTTTGCATAATTGAGAAGTCCCTCTCATAAATTGAGATACATTCTCCACATTGAATTTTTTCTTTTAAAGAAGAATAGTTTCATTTTTAAGAATAAAATTATTGTAAGAACTCTATTAAATTTTTCATTTGAAAAAATTTTGACATTATTGACATCTTTTAAAAAATTTATATGCAATACAATATATTTTGTTTTTTTTTATATTATTGTTCAGAAAAAAATAAAAAAAATATAATATAATAATAAAAAATTAATTTTATGTTATAAACTGAAAAATATATTATTACTTTTAAAAAATAATAAATTTTTATTTATAAATTATGTATATATAAAATTATATTGAATACTATGATTTATTATTAATATATATAATTAACAATGTTGTTAAATAATGATAAATTAATGCATATATAAGAAAAAAATTAATTATTAAAATATTTAATAAAATAAATAAACATTAATTTAAAAGAAAAAATTATTTAATAATTTAATTAAAATAAAATAAATAAAAAAACATTTAATAATTTTTTTAAAAATAAATATATCTTAAAAATTCTAAATTAAAAAATAATAAATTTAAAAAAATATATATATTATAAAAATATTTTATTATAAATATTATATATATATATATATATATTACCAAAAATACTTTTTTAAAAATAGATACCTTAATAATAATACCTTTATAATTATCACTTAGTTATATTAAAATAATTTTTTTAGATATAAAAGATAGACTTAAGACTAAAATTTTAGTTATTTAACCAAAAAAACAGGCGTAATTATTAATTTTTTTT